TCAATTGGGGATTTGAAGAATGAGTAGGAGTTATCTAGGAAAATAGGGTATGGAGAATGTTCCTGGCAGAGGGAAGTCAATGAGCAAAGGCCCAGTAGGCACAAACAGCATAGCATATGGGAGAATTGACAAGAACTTTGTTTGCCTGAAGCGCAAAGCCTAACTCAGAGTGAATAGATCAAAGAGGCTGAAGAGTCACTAGGAGCCAGATTTGGAAGGCCCTTGAATCCCAGGTCAAGATACTTGTATTTAACCCTCAAGACCTTAGAGAATCATGGGCGATAGTAGAGCAGGAGGGTTCCTAGTGAGATTTTCACTTCAGAGAAATGCTTCTAATGTTCAATGCGGAGAACATCCTTTAGATGGGGCATCCAATGAGCATGTTAGCATGTTGGTTCCAGTGAGAAAAGATAAGACCTACCTGGGACATGGATGAAGAGAAGGAATGTATTGAGGAGCAATCTGCAAGTGGAATTGGTGTTACTGGGAGGTGAGGGAGGAGGAGCTGAGAGATGCACTGGTTTCAGCTTGGATGAGCACATCGGTGGCTGGTGGTTCCACTGGGGGAGATGACAACAGATGATAGTGAATTCACAACTTTGATCAGGTCTCAGGCCAGCTCTCCGTGATGGCCATCTCTCCCCCTCTCTTCTTGAAGCTATGGGGCATGACCTGAAGGCCCTCCCACTCAACTTCAGCATCTCCAACCTCCAGTATTCAACAGACACGAGCAAGGGCTCAGCCACGCTCTACAACACTGAGAAAATTCTGCAGAGCCTGATGAGAGTCTGGTCCAAGCAGCTCCTGGTAGGATGAGTCCCAGTCAGCCCTGCCCTACCCCCTCTCCCTCCTGCTCATCCTCCTCCTCCCTCCTCCCCAGCTTTGATCCCTGTTCAAGAAGAGTACCTGGGCCCCTTGTATTTAGGTTACAGACTGATCTCCCTCAGGTGAGACACTTTGCATAGCATTTGCCAGTCATGACGACTTTTGGTGACCACTCCAATTTTCACTCTTCCCACTCAATTGGCTCCTCCGTCCCTCTGGCACCCATTCTCAGAGGATACAGGACATCTCTCTAGAGTCCCCACATAACTCTCTCCCTGGGCGTCCAAATGATAGGGAAGCCAATAGCTTGGAAGCTGTCTGCACCTACCATCCGGACCCAATAGCTCATGAGAGAGAGTGTGACAGAGACCCCCTGTGACCGACAGCAGCATCCCTGGGAGCTGAACCAGCTGATCCACCGTGTCACCCAGAAGGACCTCTACTCCCTGGTCAGGGACAGCCTTTTCCTCAGTGTTGAGTGTTCATGCTAAGCTTGGATTCAGAGTGATCATTACTTATACCTGTTCTATTTTATTTCCTCTGTAACAAGTCACACTAGATTCTGGTTGGGGGACACAGAAACTGCATATGTAAAAAATTTCAACTTACAAGTGAAAACTGTGCTGTAAGTGGATTTGTAGATCCCAATCAAAAAAAAAAAGAATGTAAACTAACTCACTATTGATTTTTATACAAATTGCATTGGAAAATGATAATATCTTGGTTATAATGGGTTTAAATATACTATTAAAATTAGATTCACTTGTATATTTTTACCTTTTTAAATGTGGCAACTAAAAAAATTTAAATTCCATAAGATAGATTGTGAAATTCTACTGTTGGACAGCACTGGTCAAGCCATGAAAAAAAGCCCAGAGAAGATGGTTAGGGACAATTTTTCCCAAGGAAAGGAGTCAATCTGACCCACATGATAAGATGCAGAAAACAGTCTCATACACGCGTATACACATGAACAGACACACTCACACACACACACACTTATGAAACAAAACCAACAACATCATAGAGTTTAACCACTACTTCTCAAGTGGCAAGAGCTTGCACTCCTATGTTGACCTGAGTGGACGAACCTCAGCAAAGAAGCCAGAAGTCAAGAGAATTTACCAATCAGGAAGATCTAAACCAGAGAGCAAGGGTCAGGATCTTTTGTGAGGTTCCCATTGGTGGATTCTGTTAGTAATTCAATAAGTTATGGACAATTTTGCAAGAAGGATTGTCACAGAACTCACTTTTCCTTTCCTATGTAAAAATATACAAGTTATGTAAAGAATAATAGCTCTAGCCCATCAATGAAAAGATAATAGAAGATGAATATCACTATTCTAAATCACTCCCGCATTAGTGAGCCAGTCAGGGAACAGATGACATTGGATTAAGTTGGACCTCATTAGGCTGATTCCGACTTCGTGACCACCCTACGGATTGTCTTATGCCAGGACCTCTGCAACATGCTGTCCCTACCCCCACCACTCATTTGCCACCAGATCCAACAACCAGACCAGTCCTTGCTGAGAAATCCCCTGGCTGGGCCCCTTCTGACAACACCTGGAGGACTCTCCCTAAATCCCACTCCATCACAGCACTCTTCCACCTGCCACCGGCCAGGGAAACACTTCCTCCAAGTCTCACACTGTGTGTATGCCCAGTTCTGGGAATGACACTTCTCTGTCAAGCGAAGTTCAGAGCCTGTGGGCTGCAGCCATTAGGACAACAACTGGGACTTGCTGCCAGAGAGAAGAAAACCTGTGGTGGGTGTGGGTACCAGGGTTCAAGAAGCCCCCATGATTCCTGGATAGAATCCAAGAAGCCAGTGCAGGACAGAGCAGGATGCTTGGTTGTGACTCTGCTTGGGAATGTCCATAGGAAGGTGGATGTGCCATTGGTACTGCATTCAACACTGTTGTTCATTCATAGATTCATCGTGTCTCAGAGAGTGATGTCTACATCCCTCCAGGTGCTAGTCACTCCTCTGGAGGAAACAGATAGCGTCAGAATAATGTTTACATTTAATTTATAATGGATAGGTATGGTGGTTGTAATGCACTAGGTGTTGCAAGCATTTTTCAAACATTAACTCCTTTAATACTCTCCATGTCCTTACAAATTAGGTATGCTTATCATTCTTGCCAACACCAGGTGAAGAAACTGAGGCACCAATGAGGTGAGAAACTTGCCCACTACCAATATCTAGGAAGTGATTGAGCTGGAATTTCAACATAAGATGTTGGCTCCATATTCTCTGCTCTTAACCATGTTCTTTGCTCTCAAAGACTTCACATCATGAAGACATTGGCTCAGCATATCCATTTTCTTGTTACACCCAGTAGCCCCACTCTTGGATCTCTGTCTGAAACAGATACTATTTGCATCAAAACTGTTGCACATACACACCAAAATGAGTTCTACCAATATCCCATGTCCTGGAAAATACATAGAGAATATTTCAGAACCTTTCTTGCCCAGGCTGGGAGTGCTTCTGGGAAATCCCACTGTTCCTCTAAGAAGCCAAGGGAAGGCTGGGAGCTGGGTCTCAAGGAAAGGTGAGCTTAGGAGTTACCATGGAATTACAGAATGGATGGGAGGCCTCACCAGGAACTGACTTCAGGATCTGGTGGTGTTTGAAGCTGGGCGCTAATTTTCTGGCTGTGGGTGTAGGGGCTGGTGCTGCATTCCAGGGAGAAGGGATGGCTCCCTGTGTTCTTGGGGGAAGCCAGACCCAGGAAAGAGAAGAAACGATGGTTTCCTTTCACAATGGACTTGGGAGGGGAAACATTTAGCCCAGAAGAGACAGTCATGTTCCTGAGGTCACTGGAAGATGCTGGCTCTGCGCCCGCCAAGCAGAAATCCTCCTTCATGGACTCACTTTATCCAAATGACACCAAGAAGGAGGAAACCATGAGATGCCCTTCCATATGGGAGACCTGTGACGTTGGAGACTGTGCCTGGGAGGCTCTGAAAGGCCTGACGGAGGTGACATTTGCTGTGAGCAGAGTGACAGATGAGAGGCATGTCTGCCTGTGTCTGGCAAAAGTTTGAGTGTCAGGGAGAAGGCATCGCTGGTGCAGAGACTCACAGGAAGAAGTGACTGTGACCAGACAAGGTCAGAGAGGTGGCAGTGTGGCTGGAAGGAGCCTGAGAAAACAGAGGAGGTCAGATGGGGGCACGGCAGGGCCAGGTGGCAGGAACTGGCAGACTGTGATTTTTTCTGTTGCTCTTTGACGACATTGCTCTAAGACATTCCACCTAGAAAGAACCAATCCTTAAGATCTCACAAAGTCTGTGTGCCAGGAGTGGGGCACAGCTTAGCTGGGTGCCTCTGCCTCAAGGTCTCTGTGAAGCAGGGGCTGTGGCTCTATTGCGGCTCGACTCGGGGAGGGTTTGCTCCCAAGTTCACTCACATGTGTGTTGACAGGGTTTGTTTGGACTGAAAGTCTGAGTTCCTGCCTGTCTGTTGGCCGATCATTCCCTCCGTTCTCTCCTATGGAGCATCTTCACAGGGCAACTGAAAACATGCCCACTTGCTCCACCAAGTTCCAGAGATATAAGAGCTGGAGAGAGAGAGATGGAAACAGGAGGAAGGAAAGAAGGAGGGGGCTGAAGATTGTGAGTAAGAAGGAAGGCCAGGCTTTTTATTATTAGCCCCGGGTTGTGTACCATCCCATCACCTTGGCTGCATTCTATTCAGAAGTCACTTTCTAATGACTGTGTGGTTCCACAAGGATGTGCACAGCAGGAGACAGTGAGCACCGGGAGCCGTGGTGGAGGCTGCCCTCCACATAGGCCAACATGAGGCACTTGGTTCTGACTCTAAGGGAAACAGGAGACCGTGGAAGCTTTCATGCCAGTGACTGGCAATATCTGAATTTCCTCTAATTTCAACCCGTTAAAGGTGCAGACATGGAAATGAGGTCCAGAGGGGTAGGGACTTGCTCAAAGTCCAAGAGCTGTGACACAGGCCTGTTTTAAGGGGTACTCCACACGATAGCCCACCCCTTCTTGTCATTCTTTCATCTCTAAGTGTGTGCATCAGACACAAGTGAAACCAGACCCCAGGTGTTGTCACTACTGTCTCTTCTACAGCAGAGGACGTCCTGAGGGAGCTATTTCTGGCCTTGTCCCCATCGTGCAGGTTGAGGGATTGAGGAGGCCTTGCGAGGCACAATGGTGTTTCCAGGACACAGAGCTTCTAGGGAAAAAGAGGCGTGAACTCAGCTGAACTCAGCTTCCTCAAGCTGGAAGCCTGGTTCCATCTCAAGGTCCTGTGTGGGGCTCTGTGCTGGCTATTTGTGTACAGTTCTGGTGATGACATGGGCAAGGAGGGTGAGCAGCCAAGATCCCAGAGGGGTTTTGGGTTGGTGTGATTGAAAGAAGAGGCCCGGGTAATGGAAGCTTGAGGAAGTGACCTCACTTCCTTGGTGACAGACCCTAACAGAACTTAGCACACTGGTCTCCAGGCACCCACATTCTAGACACAGCCTCCTATTGAGCTCACTTGAGTGGAGACACTCAAGAGAGCAGGATGCTCTGCTGTTGTCTCCCGACTTGTCGAGGCTGTGGCTTCAGGAAAGCCAAGAAACAGAGCCTTTTCAGTTGCTACACACATTGGCTTGGCCCTCACCTGCACCGCCTCTGGCCATTTGGCAGGAGGAGCCCTCAGGTAACACAGGGCAGGCCAACTGCCTTAGGCCACAATGGGATGCCAACCCCATACCCCTCTGAGCCTCCTTGTGTATCCGAGGGGAGTGGAGTGAGGGAATGCGGGGCTGAGGGGGCACTCATCCTGGTCAGGAGCCCTTTGCTGGGTGTTGGAAGCCTGGCAGTGCGTCGTGTTTCCAGCCTAGGTGTTGGCTAGCAGGATGGGAGAGTGGGTGCTCGGGACCAAGCTCCTCTACGTATATGTCAGTCCTGAGCCCTCCAGGTGTCATCTCATTCCCTCCCTGGCTGGAGTTCTACACAGACACTGCTGGGTACCTGATCTGTGCTGGGGTTTCCTCCTGTGGCCAAGACGAGGCAGGTGCCTGAGACCTCCCGGCCCGGCTCTCGGGCACTGTCTTTGCAGAGCTGCACGCAGGAGGTGGTTGAAGAGCTGGCGGATGGCTTTGGGTACTCCATCTCCCTGGACAGGGACCAGCTGCACCGCACCATCATCAATAACCAGGGCTGCTCTGAGGTGAGAGTGGGCACGGAGGGGTCTTCCCACCCAGGCCCCTGAGATGACAAGGGCCGGCCCAGAATCCAACCTCAAACTGCCGTTCTCCTGGGACCCTAACAGGGCTGTCCCCCATGAGTGTCCCATAGTCCCATTCCCAAAGAAATCTGGACTTCCGCTCCTCCCCACCAGCTGCATAGGAGGGTAGGAGGGCACTCTTTGCATTTTCCTAGGAAGATTAGAGAAAACGTTGATGGCATTGCCACTTCCAACTAGGCCCTGAGTATGTTTGAATTTTGCCTTTTGTGGAACATGGAACCTCGATAAGGAGGGTCTCCAAACTCCCTTTAATGTAAGAGAAATAACCATCAGCGTGTGTGGGAAGTCAAAGGGATTCTCAGAGTGTGTCACTGCCTTGTACACTGTTTCCACACCGGGGCAGGGTAGGGTGGCCGCATAACATTTCCCTCCAGGTCAGGGTCCGATGAAGCCTCAGGCAGTTAGAGGGGCTGGCCTTCAGCCCTCACTTTGGGCGGTTCTCAGTTCTGAGCCATAGGACCTAGAGAAGCCACTTGGCATGCCAAAGCCTCTGTTCTCCTCTCTAGAGAGGGGGTGTCTGTTGAGGATTCACTGGGCTGGTGCTCTGCACAGAGGGAGGTCTGTTGTCCCTCGGCGAACAAATGGCCTCAAGGGAGATCAATGTGGAATCCTTCGCACGCCCAAAGTCAGATTGTGCTGTGAGAGCCCAGAACCTTGCTGAGTGTGGGAGCTCCTGTGTCTCCTGTCGCAAATGCCTGGGAGGGGCTAGGAGTTCCTGGGTCAGCTGCAGACCTCGATAATGCTGGTGGTTCGCAGTGGTGACCCTGACTCTGTATCCCTCCTCGTCCCACCCAGAGTGAAGATGAGTCCACTCTGTCTGTCACTGAGGCCTGCAGGATGCGTGCCCTCCAGGCAGGCATGATGCAGAGGCTCTCAGAGTCTGTGCTGCCAGCCTTCCCCAGCAGAGTCCTCTGCAGTGTCATCACCTCCCTCTGCAGTGACTCAGGCTCCAGCACAGCCCACCAGGTGCTGGACCAGCTGTTTCCCAGGTGACTGCTCGCCTCCTCCTCAGCACAGTGGTGACTCTGCCCACTGCCAGCTGTGTGTCTTTGCCTTGGGAATGTCACCACATCTCTCTGAGCCTGAGTTGGCTCCTCTGAAATGTGGGGTGGGAGAGGATGAACTTGCTAGGCTTCTCCCAGGGATGAATGGGCTCAGCCATCCAGGTGCTTCCCTGGTGCCCGGCTCTGCAGAGAGGGTGGTGGGCCATGCTGTGGTTGCTGGTGGTGATTATTTCTCTGTCCCCCACGGAAAGTAGTCTTCTTCTCCCTTCACTGGCTTGTGGCTTTTTGAGTTTGGAAAAGCACCTGGAGAGCACCCTGTCAAGGAGTTTGAGATGCCATCCAGCTGGTCCTGGTGCTTGTCCTTGGTGTAGCCACTTAGGGATCTCTAGGCCACAGAGGGGACCAGGCCCACTCAGACACCTGGGGTGGTTGGAGTCCATTCAACAATGTCTATGAAGGACCTACTCTGAGCAGGACTTCTGGACACACTAAGTGTCACTCAGTGAATGAAGCAGACAGCCTCCCTGGGCCTCCCCTCTATTCTGAGAGTCAGACAGGCCCACTTGACATCATTCACAGGTCCCATCTACCCTCCATCCCGGGCGATGCCCTCATCCCCTTTGGGACACATGGAGGCAGCTTGGCCCATTGCATGCGGGATGCTGGAGGACAGGACCACCTCCCAAAGTGAGTGGTATTTGGTTACAGAAGGAGTGCCTCCTGTCTCTAGCAAACAGGGCGCGGGGAGAGGATGGAGGCTGTGGCCGGGTCAGGCCTGGGAGAACCCTGCATCTCACCCATCTTGTGATTCCCATGGGAGGGCTGAGTTCTGGTGGCTTCCACTCTGGCAGGACCGGACTCAAAGAGAGCTGTGCATGGGTCCCAGGCCCCTTGAGAATTGGAAGGGAGGCTGGGCTGCGTTGTTCCCTAGAGACCCACTCCCAGCAGAGTCCCAGCTCCTCCTGCCTCCCTTTCTCCACATCCACACCTTGTGAGCACCACCGCCAGGTCCATAGTAGGAGGTATGTGAGCAAGCTGCTCCCAAATCTGCTGGAGTCTTCATTCCAGTGGCCCACATACATGGAGGGCTTGGGTGGGCTGTGTCCAGACCCTTGGGGAGGAGAGTATCAGTGGGAACAAGAGACTCTCACAGACTCTGTGTTCAGCCTGCTGGATGAGCAGGCCTGCCACAGCCAGGACAGCCAGCCAGGGCTCAGGGCCGGGATGGGGCCCTCCTCTGGACGGGGAGCGTCTGGCACAGGGGCGCAGATGCTAACAAGAGTGCCTTGGGAGGGCGGTGTTTAAGGAAAGGCCAGGCCACTGACTCTGTGGCCCATCTGCCTCCCGCAGTGCTATCTATTTCCTGCTGGGAACCTGGCTGGGCCAAGGGCAGGATTGCAGGGAGCGCCTGCGGTTTCCCTGTTGGACCCTGCTGCTGGCCTCTCTGCACCTTAGCTTTGGTGGCTCCCACGTGGAGGGCCATGCCTACCTTCTGCCAGGCCACCTGGAGCATCTCAAGGCCATTGAGGCCGAACGGAAAGGTGAGGGGACTGCAGTCTGGGAAGACTGTCTGTGTTGAGGTTCATGGGCTAGCGTTCCCTTAGAGGCAGTGGAGTCCTTCCTATCTTTGGAAAGGCACAGAAACTGTCAGGTGTGTGGGTGAAACTTTCTCTTTATCCTGCTCCAGAGCCAGTTCCAAAGCTCCTGCCACTTCCAGAGCCAGAGCCAGTGCCAGCCCCCGGGCTGGAGCCATCTGCACCTCCAGTCTCACCACGTGTGGTAGAGCTGGAGCCAGCAGCCCCTGAGTGGGCCACTCCAGGACCAGAGCAAGGGCCACCAGTAAAGTCAGCCCCAGAGCCCAGCTGACCCTGGGCCGTGACCACCGAAGACCAGCTGCGGGAGGAGAAGCCGAACCTCTTGGACTTCCCTCCCCAGCTGGTGGCAGAGCAGCTGACGAGGATGGCTGCGGTGAGCAGAGGAGCTCATGGGGCGTGTGGCCCCTGCCTTCCCGGTGCCATGAGCCGCCCCACACCTGCCATTCCCTGCTCGGGATTCCGATGATCTGGGTCCAAATCCCTGCTCCCTCCCTTATCAACACTGTGACCTGGGCAGCTTTCTTTCTCCCCAAGCCTTCGCTGTCCCCTAGCGAACAGGGGACAGTAGAGACGGACACTCAGAGCACCTGCTGTACAGGGTGGCTGTGCCGATGAATGAGGTGGGAGAGAGTGGAAGGTGGGCAGAGTCTGGCCCTTTGGTGGGGGATGGGCACTCACTGAAGTGCTGCCAGGTCCTTGGGTGGATCCCCCATCTGCACAGGTGGCCCGGACAGCCTCAGCACTTATCAGGAAGGTGATGTGTATTGACTCCAGTGGAGACAGTCAAACAAAGCTGGGGGTTGTCCCTGCCTCGGGGGGAATGTGCATGGGAATGGGGAGTGGGACATGAGGGGCACTGGGATGGGTGGATGATGGCCCTTCTGGTGGGCATGTGTGGGCTGCCTTCTGGAGCTTGGAGGAAGTGAGACGGGGCTGGGAGCAAATGTCCCCTCCCTTCCCCACAGTACTGTGTCCAGGGTCATCCTGGACTGGGTGCATTCAGTGGACACAGACAAAACCCAGGGACTCCCACAAGCCTCAGGCCACATGCTCTGCTTCCTGAGCTCCAGTTCTGATCTCACCCTGCCTGGGCCTATGGGGGACTGTGGACGCCGAGCTGGGCTGCGGCAGGACCGGGTGACACTCCGAATCTTCTGCAGGAGCTGTTCAAGACGTTGGTGCCCGCCCACTGCCTCGGTTCCATCTGGTCTGAGCGCGACAACAGGGAACGCGAGTCCCTGGCACCCACCGTCCGTGACACTGCGATGCACGACAACACCGTGGCCAATTGCATCCTCGTCACCTGCCTTGGGGACGCGAGCATGACAGCGCAGGACAGGGCCAGGGTGGTTGAGCTGTGGATCAGTGTGGCTGACGTAAGCCTTGGCACGCCCTGTCTGGATGCATGGGAATTGCCTCTTGTTTCTCAGCTCTCAGGATTGCAGTCTGGGGTCTTAGTCCCTGGACTGTCCCTTGACCCTCATGCCAGGGCCACATTGACCTTGACTTGAGGTCCCAGTGGGGACAAGCTCACTTCCTTCCTTGTGTTGAGCTACAAATCCTTGTGCCTGGCAGTGTTACTCGTCGTGTGGCAGGTGTGCCCTCCCTGGCTTCCCTGGGCATCTGTCTCCTCCAGGACAGGGGAAGTCCATGAGGGGACAGAAACCAGAGGCAGCAGAGCTTCGGCTCCCCCTCACGGCTCCATCTCTTCGCTTCCCCAGGAGTGCCGAGGCCTCGGGAACTTCTGTTCCCTCCACACAATCCTTTCTGCCCTGCAGAGCCCTGCCATTGCCCGTCTCCAAGACACCTGGGGCCAAGTTTCCAGGTGGGTAGTCTGCTCTCCAGCCAAGCACCATGAGGGTGAGGTGGCCCAGGCAGCCTGATTTGGGCCGGCATGTCCCCCAAAGTCAGCTGAGACCACCTGGGAGACAGCGAACGCCGGGCACAGGGACTGACCTGGGTGCTGGGTCTCTGAGTCTCTCAGCGCCCTTAGGCCAGCAGTTCCATCCCAGGGATTCATTTCCTTCCAGACCAGATCCTGGCTTGAGCCCAGGTGGAGATTGTCAGGTGTTTCCTTTGCAGCAACAGAAGCCTCTATGCAGCTGAAACCAACACTGTTCCAAAGAGATCTGTTTGGGACATCTGGGAATGGAGGCCCCAAGGGACAAGAGGAGAGGCCCCTCCGCAGTCCCACGGGGACCTTAGAGCTCAGAACAGCCCAGCAAAATCCCTCATCCAGGCCCCAGGCAGTTTGGATCTGCTGGGTTCTCAAACAAATGGGACTTGCCTTCAAGCATCCCACAGTTTTTCTTGCTTGCTTGCTTTCTTTCTTTCCCCACCCCGCAGGGAGAGTTCTCGAACCTGGAAGAAGTGGGTCAGGAGAGTGAAACGCGTGAGCAGGGAGCTGCTGGTGCAGGTAACCTGGAGGCTGGAGATCTGGAAGGAGGCCAGAAGGAGAGGGGAGGGGAACATCCCGAGGGGATCCTAGGAGGTGAGGCTATGGCAAGGCTCGGCCCAGGCTGGGGGTCAGAGAGCCCCGTGAGGGTGGGGCAGGCCAGGGCCACTCGGCCAGGTCCCCCAAGACACCCTGCCCTCCCCCTCCCTGTCTGTTCAGCTGGGGTCTGGACACACCCCTGGAGTCCAGAGGTCGGGGACTTGGTCAGATTTGGAGCCAGGGCTGGGGTGAAGGCAGCGGGGACAGGGCCTGTAGCTGGCATGGGGAGCAGCCTCTCCCAGTGGGTCCTTGAGCCAGTCACTGCCCCTCTGGGGGCCTCCGTCTCCTCCTCTGGGAAGTGGAGGGAAATGATCAGCGGTGCAGGCCTCCCAGTGGGGTGCTACCATCCAAGGGAGGACAGGAATGGGAGGAGATTTGTGCCTGCTCCTCCTCGAGAGGTGAGGGGAGAGCAGTGATGACATGCAGATGACTCTGAGTCCTCAGGAGACTCCTGGAAGCAGGTGACGTTCTCCTCACACTTTTCAGCTGAGGAAAGAGGGCCAGGGAGGCCTGGGAAGGCCCAAGGTCACACAGGACTGAGTCCTGGAGCTGGGACTGGGACTGGTCTAGAATCAGAGCACCCTGCAGTTTGGAGCAGCAGAGGCAGCAAGGGACTGGAGCCGATGGCCAGGGTCTGAGATCAGGGGCCTTGGGGGACATGTGGAGGGGAGTATGGGCGCACTGACCCTGTCCTCGGCCCCAACAGGAGGCGACCTCCGTGTTAAAGACTGCAGAGAGGGCCCGCCAGGGAGCCCAGGAGAGGCAGCGGCAGCAGGTGAGGGTGACTGTGGGGGAGGGGCCTAGGAGTCAGAGGAGAGGGGGCTCCCCCTCCCAGCTGGAGACCTCCCTCAGGAGAGGGGCCTTCCTCCTCAGGTGAATCTGCTGTGGCTGCCAAGCATGACGGGCCTGCAGTGGCAGTGAGCAGGAGGAGGCCTGGAAGGGCTGGAAGCAGGGCAGATTTGGGGTGGGGAAGGGCAGGGGCCACTGCCCCTGGGAGGCGCCAACAACCAGCCCTGGGACTTGACTGATGGAGTTTGGTGTTCCTGGAGGGAAGCGGGGGAGGGAATTGTGTGTGTTGGGGTGTCCCGAGGATCCTAGGCTGCTCTGTGTGGGAGCGTGGGGTGGGCAGGAGGCTGGGCTGAGGGGTTTCAGGGGAAGGTTCATGGGGGCACCTGAGAGCGGGAGCTCATTACCATGCCCATCCTGATGGCGGCACAGGGTGTCGTCCCCTCCCAGGTGACATTCTTCCATTCCCTGGAGCTGCTGGACGCTACGATGGAGGATTATGTGGAGGTGAGTGAGCGTGGAGGTGGGTCCGGGGGCTCAGGCTCCTGAGGGTGGGGAGGAGAGAGTCCTGTCCTGAGCCCTGAGCTCTCTGCATTTGGCAAAGGTCCTCTCAGCAGGGCCCCCAGCCTTGTGTGGGAGTTGGGGTGTCAGGCTCATCTCCCCAGTGGGTGACGCAGGCTCTGCATAAGCCACCGTCCAGGTTCCCTGGGCTGCTGAGGCTCAGAGCTGCCTGACTGTGTGGCCACAGGAGGTGGTGTCTGAGCTGGACTCAGCCTCTCCCTCTGACCCTACCAGTGAGTGAAGAGAAGTCGGGCCCCTCCCAGTCAGGAAGCACATCAGTGGCTGAGCTGTCCCTTCCTGCCTGAGGCCTGAGTCTCTCCACGTGTCATCAGAGAGGGTTGGGTTACAAGGTCTCTTGCCTCAGTTGCTCTGTGCCCCCTGCTCTGGAGCCCAGAGACTGGCCCAGGTCTGAGTCTGGGCTCTGGATGGGCCTGCCCACTGGCAGTAGTGCAACATTGCAAGAGGTGTGGACGGGGGCTACTGCTGGCCCAAGGGGGCTGTTTCTGATGGACTGTGGCTGTCTGCCTTCCAGGGCAATGTGCTCAACTGTCGGAAATGGAATGAGGTAAGCGGCTGCGGCCTCCCGGTGGGGAGGGTGGGGGGTGTGGAAATCAGAGACGCCCCCGCAGTGGGCAGGACCCCCTCTGGCCCAATCCCCAGGGTGGAACATTTATTTGCACAGTTCCATATACAGAGCTAGGGATCCTATGGCATTGGTGGGTGGGGGAAGGGCTGGCATCAAAGACTCCTTCCTGGAGGAGGAGCTATTTTGGGCCAAGTGTGAGAGCAGGCAAGCCCTGACTGGAATCGCAGGGAGGGAGGGTTCCCAAGTGGGCAAAGGCCCCAGTCTGGCCCCTTGCCCCCTTCCTCAGCCCCTCCACAAGCCCTGCAGGGTCCCGAACTCAGGCCCTGTGGGCATCCTGTGCTTGCTCTGTCCTAGCAATTCAAATTGATGGAGGAGATCGAGCTGCTCCAGGAGGCTGCAAATCTGTACACCGTGCAGCCCGATGAGCACTTTGGGTCCTGGTTCCAGGCCGTGGAGCCCCTGAGCAAGGAGGAGAGGTGAGTCGGGTCAGGAGTTGGGGGAGGGCAGGGCAGACTCTCTCTGCTGACCAGCTCCAGAGCCCATGGCCGTTGCTCCATGGTCAGCCCCTGATCTGATTGCATGGCGACCCCTGGGGCCCTTCGACTCCAGCTGCTGGCAGGCTCCAGGATGCACATGTGATGTGTGGCTCCTGAGAGCTCCCAGCTCCACTCTGTCCTGTAGCTACAGCCTGTCCTGCCAGCTGGAGCCCTGATACCACTGGATCAGAAAGATTCGACTCTTCTTCGAAGACAAGAAGAACCACTCAGTGCAGAGTGAGTGTCCAGACCGGCAGTGGCTGAATCCGTGGGCTCAGGAAACATTCAGGCTGAGCGTGGGCCTGGGGAGGCAGACAGCTGGCCCTGGGCTCCAGCTCCACTGCTGAGCAGTCCCGTCCTGGGTGATTGCACTCACGTTTCTGGGACTAGTTTCCTCCTCTGTGAAGTGGGTGACGCTAAATATCAGCCCCTGTGTCAGGGACAGAAGGGGTGCTGTTGGCTGACTGAGCACTGAGCACAGGGCTGGAGCACAGAGCGCAGTGGGGGCCGGGATGGGGTGTGCACTATGGTTCCAGGGCAGGCCGCTCAGGAAATGCCTCTCTTTCTCCAGACACCAGACCCCCAACCAAGGGCCCAGTGGTGGTGGTCGATGACCCTCCTGAGACCAGCTGAGCTACAGCGGGGACACAGCGTTGACACTCAGGGTGCACAGGGCCACCTCCCCTGATTCTGATGAGGAGAACTTTGTGATCCATTTCTTGGGGTCCCCTGTTGGCCACGAGGGAAGGCACCAACCCCTCTTCTCCCTCCCCCCTTTTGCCCAGCACCGATTTCCCTATTTGGCGGGGCCATATTTTGTTGTCAATGGTAAATGCTCCGTTTGAGTATTATATTAAATTGTTGCTTCTTTCTAATCCTGGGAGTGGAGGTGTGAGTCTTTCGCTCGCAGCGCTCATGGAAACCAGATCCAGAAACTCACATTCCTCCTCGAATTTAGAAATCTCCCAGAGTGAGCAGCTCAGTTTATGTGGAGAAGGGAGAAGTGCCAGTCCCCTCCCTGGCTACTGAAGGACATGCCCAAGTCCCCCTCCCGCCGAGGACAGGATCATTGCAGTGTGGTTCACCCTGTCCAGGAGCAGAGATGGCCCCTCCGACCTCTTGGGACTAAGCAGTTGGAGGTGTTTTCTCAGGCAGAGCCACAACCACTAAGCTGGGCGTGTCTGTCAAACTAGCACGTGCCTGTCCCTAGCACACGTCCTGCCCAGGACAGTGGCTGCCTTTCGACACTCTGCCGGAAGAGGGAACCTTTTCCCTGTTTCTCTTGCACACAGATTAGGACCTTGTTTTCTGATTCAGTCTCCGCAATGGCTTCAGCTCTAAGTGGGGAAAATACTGTCAAAAGCTCAAAACGTGCACAGAGAGAGGACGAGGCCAGAGGAAGGTCCTGTGGACATGGACCATGGGGAGGCAGGACTCTTCCTTCTTGGGCCCACTAGGGGCTCCCTGTTCACCTCTGACCTAGACTGGATCCCCCTGGGCTTCTGGTCCCTGACTCCGAATACCATTTCCTGCTTGTTGCCTATCCAAGGGGAAAGCAGTGGGATGCAGCTTTTAGGGCCTCAGCCAGGTCTCCCTCAATAAACCTAGTGCTCCCAACAATCTGTTCCAGAAAATATAACCAGAGTCAACACTTTCCAACTCATCTTATGAGCCCAGCAGTACCCTAAAAGCAAAACTAGAGTTTAAAAGTAGGGAAAATTTGAGAACAACAAGTCTCAGAAATGAGCAGTTACCGTTTTCTACGAAATATTAGAAAACTGAAGCCAACAATGTAAAACAATCATACACCAGGACAAAGAGGAAATTTTTTCAGGTATGCAAGGTTGTATCAGCATTCCAAAATCAAATCAATGTGATCCACCCTGTCACAGGCTAAAGGAGAAATTTATACATATATGTCAGTTGGGATGGGGGGGAAGTCATCAGATAGTACATATTAGATATGTCAGGTTCTTTCTCTATCAATTGCAACTCATTAAGGCTCTTACAAAAATGAACATAGATATAGAATTTACACTTTCACAAACTTTTAGAAAATGGAACAGAGACCTAAATGTAATGCAAAACAATACAACTTCTAAAAAGATTATGCAACAAACTCTAAGTGGACTCGAATCTGGAATTATGTTATTAAGATACAAACTGAAAATGTAATCTATGAAAAAAAACTGATGTTAGACTTTATTTATTATTTTGGTAAGGAAGGTTGACGCTGATCTAACATCTGTGCCGATTTTCCTCTATTTGGCCTGTGGGATGCTGTCACGGCATGGCTTGACAAGCTGTGTGTAGGTCTACACCCAGGATCTGAACCTGTGAACCCCAGGCTGCCGAAGTGGAGTGCGTGAACTTCACCACTGTGCCAGCGGGCCGGCCCCAAGTTAGACTTTATTAAATTCAAAACTCCTGCTTTGTGGAAGGCAAAATCAATGAGTCAAAAGACAAATTACAGACTGGCAGACGATATTCACAAAACAGATATATGATAAAGAAAATATGTCCAAGATATATGCAAAGAATTCTTAAAAGTCAACCACAACAAAAAAATAAACAACCTTATTGAAAAATGGGCAAAAGACCTGAATATATCCCTTACCAAAGAAGACATACAGATGGCAAACGAGCCTGAGGACAGATGACCACCGCCACAGGTCATTCTGGAATTTCATATAAAACCTCAATGAGATACTTCTACACACCTATTAGAACTGATAAATGCAGGAAATTGGAGCCTGGTTCCGTTGTATCTGACAGTTGGTTCCATGGTGTCTGGCAGGTGGTTCCTGTGTGTCTGGCATATGGTTCTGGTACATTCGAAAGGTGGTTCTGGCATGTCCAGCAGGTTGCAACAGTGTGTCTGGGAGCTGATTCCATCCTATCCGGTTGATGCTTTCAGAGTGTCCTGGCTTTGTTTCCGGCCTGTCTTGCAATTAGTTCCCACATGTCCGGTGGGTGATTCTGGCGTGTCTGGCAGATTTTCCAACCTTTTCCAGAAATTGGTACTGGCGTATCCAGGACCTGGTTCTGGTGTATCCGGCAGGTGATTTTGGCGTGTCCAGCAGGGTTGTTCTGGCGTGTTAGGATGGTGGTTCCAGCTTGTGTGGCAGGTGTTTGTGGCATGTCCGGCACCTGGTTCTGGCATATTTGGGAGGTGGTTTCAGTGTATCTGGTACTTGGTTCTGGGATATCCAACAGGTGGTTCCGAAGTGTGTGGCAGGTGGTTCCTGTGTGTCTGGCATGTGGTTCTGGTAGGTTCGGAAGATGGTTCCGGCCTGTCCGTTAGGTGCTTCCAGCATGTCTGGAAGTTGGTTCTGGCGTGTCAGACTCATGTTTCCAGTGTGTCCGGTGGGTGCTTACGGTGAGTCTGGTGGGTCATTATGGGATGTCTGTGTGGTGGTTCCAGAGTGTTGGCGGGTGCTTTTGGCATGCCTGTCGGGTTTTTCCAGCATCTAAGGTGCCTGGTTCAAGCATATCCAGCAGGTGAGTTCTTTCTCAGCTTCCTAAAGAGCTGGAAACAAGACAGTTAGTGGCTTGTCTCCCCTTGAGGGATGGAGCCAGTGCTTTGTGCCATCCACCTCTCAAGCAATATAGGGCATGGTTGAGAGCAAATGGGCCGTTCTGACATAGGGGCTTTCTGACACTCTCTCCACGAGTGCACAAGGGTGGTTGGTTAAAATCCTCTTGTCTCTATCCTCCTAAGCTTGTGGAATCACTATCATACGGGCCTTGGCCCCATTGCTTAAGGAGAAGATGTAGCCATTACCCCTGAGCCGGGTTGGCAAGAGGGAAATGTGGCAGAAG